GTTGAAAGACTTATAAATAGCCCATATACTTAAAAATGGTCAAAAAATATGATCAACTTTTAAAGTGGCAAAAATTCTATACAGAAATATTTCAGACTAATGAGTGTATAGAGATGTGAGGCCTCATACACTGCTGTGAGTATATAATGGTATGATTTTTATGAATATAATCTGATATTATGTATCAAGAACTTTAAAAATTCCTTCCTCTAGCCAGCACAGTGTCCCATGCCTGTAATCCCAGCAGCTCCAGAGGCTGAGGCAGGAAGATTGCAAGTTCAAAGCCAGCCTCAGCAATGGCGAGGTGCTAAGCAACTCAGTGAGACCCTGTCTCTAAATAAAATACAAAATAGGGCTGGGGATGTGGCTCAGTGGTTGAGTGCCCCTGAGTTCAATCCCTGGTACCAAAAAAAAAAAATCATCTTCTGATAATAATTCTATTTCTATTTTCTATCCCTAGAAAATAATGAGATGTGTGCAAAAGAAGGTTGTAGAATGATAAATGCAGTATTATTTATAAGTTGAAAATAACCAATGGGGTTGGGGATGTGGCTCAGGGGTACAGCACTTACCTAGCATACTTGAGGCCCTGGGTTCAATCCCTAGTGAAAGAAAGAGAGAGAGAGAGAGAGAGAGAGAGAGAGAGAGAGAGAGAGAGAGAAAGGAAGGAAGGAAGGAAGGAAGGAAGGAAGGAAGAAAGAAAGAAAGAATCTACGATAATAAAATTTCCCACATCAATTCTACTTCAAATGATTGATGCTATGGTTTGAATGTTTCCCCCAAAAGTTCATGTTGGAAGCTTAATTCCCAAATTCATGTTAATGGTATTTGGAGGTGGGCCCTTTGGGAGGCAGTTAGAATTGGAAGAGATCATGAGAACATGAGAGTGAGTCCCCCCTGGTGACATTAGTGACTTCATAGGCCTTAGGGTCAAAGATGCCCTCTACCTGGAGTAGTCTTCTCATAAATAGTGGCACAGCTAACACCCTTGTCTTCTTCAAGCCTTTGCCAAAGTGTCACCTTGTCACGAAACTAGTCTACCCTATGCAAAATTATGCCTGGCTTCTTCTATACTGCCACTGCCACTTTTCATCCCACTTACTTCATAGGAAGAGAAAGATCTTAACTGTAGCTCTTGCTCAGTCTTGCCATGCGATACCCTCTGCCATGTTTTGATGTATCAAGAAGGCCCTTATCACATGTTGAACAGACTCCAGCCCATGTTCTTGGACTTCCCAACACCAGAACTGTGAGGCAAATCAACTTCTGTTTATTTGTAAAAACTTTGTAAATCACCCTGTCTCCAGTATTTTGCCATAACAACAGAAAACAGACCATCAAGACAATTGTTCTAAGCCAAAATATAATCATTTCCCTAGGTAATGATGGGTTTGGAAATTGACATGTGATCTGATCCTAGCAGAAGATACAATCCAAGGTCTATAAGGTGACGTCAGAGGTTTTTTGCCCTAAAAAATGACAGACGGGAGACCGTGGGAGATTTTTCTGCACATTTCTGTGCCTGAATGTGGTATCTGGGGCCTTCTGATTGTCATAAGAAAAGGAAGTCAGATGGTAAAACTGACCCACTGAAGATGGCAGGGTGGAGCAACGGAAAGATCTAGGCACATTCTCACTTCAGGGCCTTAAGGTCGAAGATGCCCTCTACCTGCAGTAGTCTTCTCATAAATAGTGGCATAGTTAACTCCTTTATCTTCTTCAGGCCTTTGCCAAAATGTCACCTTGCATGAGACTAGTCTACCCTAGGCAAAATCATGCCTGGCTTCTCCTATACTGTCACTGCTACTTTTCATCCCTCTTATCATTTTCTATTGTTTTCCATAGAATTTATTGCCTAATATACCTTATGATTACATTATAATTCATTTTTATGTAGATTGTTTACTATCTTTTATGATGAACTAAATTATAAGCTTTATGAGGGCCAAGAAGCTTATCTTTATTATTCACTGATAAACTTCTATAGCTTTGAACAGAACTGAACATATAGTAGACCTCAGTAAACATTCATTCAATGAGTGAATGAAAGAATCCCGCAGTAACAGCAGACTTAAGAATCAAAATGTCTCACAGCGTCACTCTTTGGTGTGCTTCTTCTTTCAAACAGAAGAAAGATTTCCTAGGGGATAAAAAAAAATGGATTTGTTATGGGTGGTCTAGAGGGTAAAACCAAGGCATATGGGTCAAAACTATTTGGAGACACTTAAGGGAACAGCTTCTTTGGTTCAGAAGAGCCCAGAATCCTCCAAAGGGCATCTCCCTGGCCAAGCCCCTGACTCCGGTTTTACCTTTCCATTGCAGTCCCTTTACTTTGATCCTTTTCTGCCCCTATGACACCTGACCCCAAAGGCACCTACTTGGCTTAAACCTCTGGCTCAATTCTTTTCTCAGTTTCCACCAGCAAGGCTGTATAAAGGTGGAATACTCAAAAGAAATATTACTAAATGCTGAACCTGAACTAAGAATTATCTGACCTCAGTACAATCCTTCTTTGAGGCTTGCTGCATGATCTTGGAAAGTTTATTGAGTTCTGAGTTGCCTGTAGTTGTGTGCCTCAAAAGTAAATTAGGTGGATTGCATTGACTGGTTGCTAAATTGAGGCTGACTCTGCAAGTCTTTGTTTCTACTCTTCTGAAGAGGTCAGTGATGTTATATTAGAACTTGTATCACACGAATGAAGGGGGATAAACTATACCCAACGATATTAACTCATTCACTCGCCTTCCTAATTTTTTTCCAAAAGTTTTGTATTGTTTTGGAAACAGGTGCTGAATATGCACGGAAAATGCCATCTGCAGCTACTTCTATTTTAATTATTAACAACTTAAATATTTAAATTCAGGGGCTGGAGTTGTGGCTCAGAGGTAGAACACTCACCTAGCATGTGCAAGGACCTGGGTTCGATCCTCAGCACCACATAAAAATAAATAAATAAAATAAAGGTATTGTGTTCAACCACAACTAAAAAATAAAAATTAAAAAATATATATATTTAAATTTTAAAATCAAGTTTTTCTTGAACATTTTTAGCTCAACATAGAAGACATAGGCTCAACTGACACATAAATTTAAAAGGTTTAATTTCACTAAAATTTAGCTCTACTTATAACTCAGCCAAATAAATAATTTTACATAATTTTAAAATATATTAACAAATCTAATATATCTGATTTTTCTCAAATGCCAAATGTCTATTAGGAACAACTTAAAGGTCTAATAAGAAGAACCTTTTAAAATACTCAGCACCTCTCTCTCTCTCTCTCTCTCTCTCTCTCTCTCTCTTTGATGAAAATGTAATTATTCATTTCAAATTAATATCACAAATTTAATGTGTTAAATTTTCTTAAGTGTGTTGTATACAAAAATGTCATTGCAAGACTTAGTCCTAAAATTAACCTTGAAAATTAGAATCTGCAAAAGACTCATTTGTTCATCCTTGGCTGGGGAAATCTGGGGAAACAGCACTAGGGACTCAAAACTAATTCCTAATCTTTAATGGGAACTAAAATTTTTAATGGTAGAACAGGCCTAAAGATTAGAACAAAAACAAGCTCATCTGAATAAGATAGTAACTTTCAGAGGTGATAGGATAAAATGCCTTTGCAAACCCACAAAGGAATAGAAGTAAGCACAGAGACAGTAAAATTAAGCTAAACTTTGGGGCTAATTTGGAACCTGGGAGACAAGATATGTGAAAGACCTCTCCTCTGTATGCCATAATGCACTTTTGCTTGATTATAATATCATCTTTAATTAATGATATCCAGCTTACTTATCTTACAATGTGATTGGATTAATTCTGTGAACATGTAATTTAAAACTGCCTGGATGTTAGTGCAGGGTTAGTTCTTTGCTGGTTCCCCTTATCTGGACCCCAGATTTACAGAGAGGGACCATTTGAAATTACAGGAGATCACAGCTGCAGCAGGAGGAGGAGAAGGAGGAACTAGAACTAGCTGGAAGAAAGAGTTTCCAGTGGTTCCCTGCTCTCCCTTCCAGCCTCAAGGCTGCTGTGACCACAGTGGTTTGGCTGCAAAAGGGCATCAGCCAGGACCTCCTTCAGCTTTCCTTACAGGGCCAGATTCCTGGACATGTGATCTGTTGGTCATATGGAGCATGGCACTTAGAAGGACCCCACACTTGGCTTATTGCTCTGTTGGCGTGTTTTGAAATTCTCTCTCTCTCTCTCTCTCTCTCTCTCTCTCTCTCTCTCTCTTAAACAGAGGCCCCTGCATTCTCATTTTTCACTGGGCAGGGCAAATTATGTAGCCAGTCACAGCTTTGGAACTCATTTAGATTTTTACTTCTGACAAACAGGAATGAAGTTTACCTGTGGCTAGGTGTTAGACCAGGAAGGAGCATCCTAGAACTGCCTTGATCTGCTTCCCTGCACATCTGCTCCTTCTCATTAATACTCATCAGTTGAGCTCCCACTAACTTTGGGGTACCGGCTGATCTCTACAGGGAATCTTGTTGAGTTGAATTTGACATCAGCAGCATTACCATTCAACAGCACCCTCCATGTTGCTATAGATGTAGCAGGATTAGTTTTGCGTGTAGTGTACAAAGGTGTACCGGCTCCAACTTGATCCTCCCTGGTGGGTAGCCTGGACCCTGAGAAGCCTTTCTTCCGAATAGAGGGAGGACAGATAAACGGACACAAGGGTTTCGAAAAGGAGATCAAAAGTGAATGCTCAAAGTGAACGTCTATCATTGAATGTTGGTTAACTTCCCTGACTGAGCCTCCTCCAAGGCTTCACCTGTGGTTCCTGACCACAGCCACGCCTCCCCGACTCCTCAGGCGGGCGCAGCACGGTGTCCGCGCAGTCCGCGGAGGGTCCCCGCGGCACTGCGGCTGCGGAAGGAGGGGCGGGCCCGGGTCTGGCCCGCCCCGCGGCGGTCGGGGGTGGGGGCACTAGCCTATTACGGGATGGAAACTCCGGGTGTCCAGGGGGCGGGAGGAGAAAGAAGGGAGGTCTGCGCGCGGTGAAAGGCGCATTGATGAAGTCTGTGGCGGCCTCGGAGCACAGCAGGGCTAGACGCTGACCAGGTCTGGCTTCCGCGGTCTTCTCCTCCGCCTACGCCTCCTGCTCCGCGGGGTCTAGCCGCCAGCGGCATGCACCCCCCAGGCCGTGCCACCTCCCCGCAGTGGGGGCTCGGCCTCCTGCTGTTGCTGCTGCTATTGCAGCTGCCCGCACCGTCGAGCGCCTCTGAGACCCCCAAGGGGAAGCAAAAGGCGCTGATCCGGCAGAGGGAGGTGGTGGACCTGGTGAGTTGGGGGAGCCGGATCGGGGCTGCAGCACCAGAAGAGGGTACAAAGGGCACGGGCGAGGTCGTCTGTCCAGCTCTTAGGGGGAGAGTGACCGAACAGTTGTGTATAATGTATCCTGCGATCCTGTGGTTGTCCTGCTTTGTCTATGTATAAGGAAGGACCCGGGTTATGCGTGCAGTAGAGTCTTGGAACTGGAGGGGAGACCAAAATCAGAGGCCATCGTGGGGCGGAGATGCAACGTGGGTCGGGTGGAACTCGCCCAGTAATTTCTGGCCTCGGGGGAGGCCACCCTTGGGAGGGGTGAGAGAGGGTTAGGGCGGCAATGAGGGTAGAATAAAGATCTTGGGTAGGTAGAGTGGGCTAGAAAATACCCTGGATGGCTTATCTCCTGGGCTTGAGCCAGGGCCTTGCAACGTGTCCTTTGTTGGGGCTGGTGGCCACGTCTCCCTGAAGGAAAGAATAACAACCCCCACAAAGCATTCGTCCAACTCTCTGTAACTTGAAGACTATGAGTCACAGTGGGTCATCTTCCTGGGGAGTATGGGCTGCAATTTACTTTGTTGGACAACCACAGCTGGGGCCAGGAAAGGTTCAGAGGGTTTAGGCCGGAAGGGCAAATGAAAGGTACCAGCACTGACCCTTCAAAGACCCATTTCATTTGCTCTGTTTAGATGAGCAGTCAGGTCTTCAGCCTGTGGCCACCAGGTAGGAGCATCACAGTGGTGCTATGGGAGGAGAGCAAATAAGTAGCCCAAGTGCTTTCTGAGGGGCCAACCTGAGAGAAGGTCTGTTTACTTAAAGCTCTTTCCCTCTAAAAGCCAATTAAACCCTGTGGGGGTGGGGAGGCAGTGTCATGTGGCAAGAGCAAGTCTTTCACAGATATCTGTAGTCCTTGGCACATCACAAACTTCAACTCTTAGACCAGCCTCTTGCAGACGAATATGGTTGATAGGCATTGCAGAACATAAGACAGGAGACATTTATTGATTTTTTTTTTAAAGTTTCAAATTTGTTAAACTGCCATTCTAAACTGGCAGCCAGTTCTATGCTGGATTCAACAGCGCTGGAAAAAAATTCCTGCCGTTTCACACAGCACTTTTTGGTGATAGGCTGTGTAATTTTGTTCCACAAAAGCAGACTATGTGTTCAGGACTACAGTTCTATTTTAAATCTCTAAATTGTTAAAACTGTACCAAATGGCTGTGGTTTGTGTGTAGTTTGCATTTTATGAATGTGTAATTATGATCACAAAATACCCCTTCTCTCCATAAAGCTAGCAATTTTCCCCCTCTAAGGATTTACAGCCCCTGTGGTTTGGCCACAACTCTAGCCCAACTTGGAAAAGCTTATTGTGCAGCCAGGCTCAGGTGCATCCTGTGGCTTGGGTTTGGTTTGGGTGATAGAAAAAGTCCACGCAGTCATTAAGAAGGTTTCAACAGATTCTATAAAGCAACTTCTTTGTATAGGATCTTTCAAAGCCTTCCTTTCAAGTTCCCACCAAGTTCTGCCCCCTGGTGGCTAGTGAAAGAAAATGGGGTGGGGCAAATTTGAGCTTACCGGATACATTTTTGATTTTATAGACATTTTTTTGAGACTCTAAATGTGTTGGGCTAGCATTTTAAGGTAGATGAAGACAAATTTAATACCAGTCAAACCAAGTCCAATAAAGTCATGTGATCTCTGAAATGCAATTTTTACATGGAAACATGGCACTATTGACATTTTGGGCCAGGTAATTCCTCATTGTGGGGATGTCCTGTGCATTGGTAGCATGGTTAACATCATTTCTGACCTCTACCAACTAGAGTCCATTGGTAATCTCCCCACAAAAATTGCCGCAACCCAATGTCTGTGGACATTGCCAAGTGTCTCTTGGGAGACGAAACTGTCCCCAGTTGAGAATCATTAATAGTATGGAAAAATAATCCTTAATCCATGTAGCATCTTGCCCTGAGGAAAATAATAGTGAAAAAAATAAATAGTACCAAAAGAAATTTTATTGTTTATTCCTTCACACGTTAAATATATGTCCAAACATGTATGTATGTATATGTGTATTATGTATATATATACACACACACATATCTATCTATCTATCTATCTATATATATATATACACACACACACATATCTATATCTATCTATCTGTATATATATCTGCAAGTGAAAGTGAATGAAATTATTAAAATGAAAATTAATTCTAATGTATGCCAAACCTTAAAAAAAACAGTTTTTATTTTGGCATGTCTTCAAATACTTTTGCAATTTTAAAATACTTTTGTTACTATTTCTCTGAGTAAATAAATAATAGTGCCTTTTTTGTCTTAAAGTAGGGAAAATGGCAGTATCTAAATTACAGAATATCATGGACTAAAACAAAGATCAAGCTGGTGATGTGAGAAGCAAATTTGTTGGCAAACAGTCTAGTAGGATCCTTCATAGATAGTGTTATTATTGGATTTTGTAATCTGATCATGCCCAATCTCAGATTATAAGGTTAAAAGATAAGCTTTGACATCCTTTTACTATATAAAGAGCCTTGGATGTGTTCTCAATGAATAGTATATTTATACAGAATGATAATATTAGACAATTTATACAAATATCAAAAGTATTAAAGAATTTAAATGTATGCAATGAGTTTTGGAAAGTCTAATGAATGGCACCCCTGTTCCCATGTGAACTAATTCAAGGGTAGGCACAGGAATTGGACAGATGGAGCTCAAAATATCACCTTTGCTGCATGGCTCAGATGTGCAAGCAATTGGGTTTGCTAATGCGCTCTTCCTCAAATCTAGACCCTTGTGGAGTCCAGTCAAGGAGACATCTATCCTGAGTCACAGCCTCATACTAGTCTTTGGGGGATTAGAATGATAATAGCTGGCATGTACAGTGTTTACTGTATTCCAAGCATTGTTCTAAGCACATTTTTTATATATGATGCACTTAAATCTTATATACACCCTACAAAATGGGAATCTTTGTTATTATCCATATTTCACAGATAAGGAAATGCACATCGAAATGTTGAGTAATTGGCCCTATCTTAAATAGCTAATAAGGGGTGGAGCCAGGATTAAAATCCAAAGAAACTGGCTTTAAAATCCATGTATTCAAACTCTACAAAATACTCCCCACTACATACATATAAACAACCACCGCAAAACAGAGAATCCTAGCACTTACACATGGTTTGATATGTGATTGCACCCCTACTGAGGACCGGTGGTCATATGGAACTAAGCCACTTACTTCTTTTTGGGAAGGCAGGGTGGGTTAAAGACCAGAAGTGTTACCCTTGTACTACTTCCTCCATATAAAAATGATTCAGAGGGTTTGGGCCAGCATGGCAAATGAAGGGTCCCAGTGCAGACCCTTCAACAAGTGGAGGAATGTATATCCAACGTAGAGCTGTTACCAGTAGAAGGTAATTATTGACTGCTAAGATTTTATTTTACAAATCTGTCCCTAGCAATTCACTGTAGGGAATAATAACTCAGAAGAAAAAAGCTATATAGATGAAGATTTTCATTACAATATTAATGATAGGAAAAAACAAGTAAATTTAATATCCAAAGATGGTGCACTGTTTGCATGAACTGTAAGAAGAGTATAATTATGAAGTTCAAGTCCCTTTATAACCTCTATAAGGTTAGGAGAAAAAAGGCAGAATATGAAATTATATCTATCTAGGAATACAGCTATTTAAAATTATATGTGCTTTAATGAGCAGTGGAAAGAAACAGGCAAATGAAAACATTTTGTCCTTTTTGATTTGTGTGTGTGCATACATATGTGTGTGTGAAGTTTGTGCAATAAAAAATGATGGAAATTGCAATATTTTAGAAATAATTTTTAAAAGAATTATCTATAAGATCTTACCTAGAACACGGACAAGTGGTTTGAAGGGATTCAAATAAATGCAATTTTAATCATTATATTGAATCTTTGAAGCTTTTGGTGATGAGAGTTATTTTCTCCTTTCCTTTCTTGCTGTAGTACAATGGAATGTGTTTACAAGGACCAGCAGGGGTGCCTGGTCGTGATGGGAATCCTGGGGCCAATGGCATTCCAGGTACCCCTGGGATCCCAGGTCGGGATGGATTCAAAGGAGAAAAGGGGGAGTGCCTGAGGGAAACCTTTGAGGAGTCCTGGACCCCTAACTACAAGCAGTGTTCATGGAATTCATTGAATTATGGCATAGATCTTGGAAAAATTGCTGTAAGTAAAGTCTGAATTACTTTCAAGTTGAAGCAAAACTTTAGGATTTTATATTCGACTGTTAATTTTCTAGGTAGGATTTTATTGTGGTTTCTTTTTTTTTTTTTAACCAAAAGACTAAAAAATAAAATAAAATAAGGAGCAGGTAACATATAACTTTTAACTTAAAATTAATGAAAAAGTTGATAACATTTCAGTTAATTTCATAAAAGTATTTTAAGACAAATTACTTTTATGTTTTTTAACCATAATGTTTAAAATAAGTTACTCTTGTTTTTTAAATGCAAGCAAAAAAAGAGAACGTGGGTTTTCTAATCTTTTCATAAAGTGAATTTAAATTTAAATCAGTCTAAGAAATTCTTCTGTGGCTTCAGACCTAAAAACGGAAAAAGTTTCCAAGAATTACCACATTATAGGATCTGCAAATGGGAAGTCCGTTGGTATTTGTCCTTATTTCAGGTAGTATGCTCAGCTTAAAATTGCTGAAGAGAAGTGAAATGTACCAGATGGGGTTTACTATAACCATTTAAAATTATCCTGCAACATTTTGTATGTGTATAGGGGGATTACTCAAAATAGCATGTCTGATGTCTGGCAAGGCATTTTGATTGCATTCAGTTCTCTCTCTCTCTCTAACTAGAGCTTGAACTCAGAGTGCATTACTACTGAGCTACATCCTCATCCCTTTATAAATTTTTTTGTTTTGAGACAGGATCCCCATAAATTGCTGAGGCTGGCCTTGAACTTGCAAACCTCCTACTTCAGCCTCCCAAGTCGCTGGGATTATATAGGCATACACCATCACACCCGGCATGATTCAGTCACTTTGATTAGTGTTCTTCTAAAGTAATTGGGGGCTGAACAGAGTTGAAGTTGTACTATTTTATAAATCATCATCATTTGTTGATCAACTCTGATGTGATTCCACATGTACACCACAATATCTCATGATTTTAACTACTACTACCACTCCTAGGCAAATAGAAGAGATTTTATTTTTATAAAGTATTCGAGTCTTGCAATCTGCATATTATCCCTGTTCCTCATCTCAGACTATTATCTATAAAGAGTTTGAGTTTGACTTCATTTTCTGATAGAAGTTCCATCTAGCTGCCATAGTATTGGTGACTGTGAGCTTTTCTCTGTTCATATGTAATTTCTTAGAAAGCATTTTTTTAAAAATGTTGCCTAGTTATTTAAACATCTGACATTGATAAAATGCTCACTTATTTAGAGTTGTTCATCACGAGTTGTTGAGTTCTTTCTAAAAGCTATCCTAATGGATGTTGCCTTATTAATATGTTTTTGAGTTCTTTTAAAGGTAATCAGAATGAGTACAGGATCTTTTAAAAAATACTTGATTTCTTCAAGTAAAAGATGATAGGGCATAAGTGAAAAGATAAATTTTTCAAAGACTAATTAGAGGAAAAAAAAAAAGAATCTTGGACTTATGATTGTGTCATAGAGGTAAAGTCTAATGCTTTACCCCCTTATACTGTTTGCTCAAAGAGGCCTAGTCAGAGATTTATGGACAGCGCTAGCCTAGAATGCAAGTTCCCTGAAGGCAGGGATTATATTTTGTTAACTGCTGCATCCATACCAGCTAGCACATAGTTGGTACTTAGTATTTTTTTTAATGTTTATTTTTTAGTTGTAGTTGGACACAATACCTTTATTTATTTATTTTTATGTGGTGCTGAGGATCGAACCCAGGGCCACGCACATGTTAGGCAAGCGCTCTACTGCTGAGCCACAACCCCAGCCCCGGTGCTTAGTATTTTTTGAATAGAAAAAGAAAAGTAAGGCTGGGGATGTAGTTCAGTTGGTAGAGTGCTTGTTTGCCTCACATGCACACAGCCATGGGTTCAAACCCCAACACCACAAAAAAAAAAAAAAAAAAAGTATATAGAATGGTTGGTTGAAAATACTGAAAACTAGCTGTTTTTGGTAAATCTGAAAGATACATATAATGAAGTGACGAATTCTAAGAAAGCCATTATTTGATTTTCTTAGAGTTCTTATATCTTATATTAAAGTCTATCTCATAAGGAATTTCCCTTTGTAAAAGTTAAGCTTTTTAAATACATTGGAGAGAAGAATAATTAAGTAAAATTCACAATATAATTTCAAAGTCTCTTTTTAACAAACAGGGAAAGTGTTAATCAAATTGCGTTTTTCCGTTTGTGGCAGGAGTGTACATTTACAAAGATGCGCTCTAACAGTGCTCTGCGCGTTCTGTTCAGTGGCTCGCTTCGACTGAAGTGCAGAAACGCATGCTGTCAGCGTTGGTACTTCACATTCAATGGAGCTGAATGTTCAGGACCTCTTCCCATCGAAGCCATCATTTATTTGGACCAAGGAAGCCCTGAACTGAATTCAACAATTAACATTCATCGAACTTCTTCTGGTATGTAAAATAGTGATATTACCTCAGATCAGTCATGGTTTTAACCGAGTTCCACTATCCTGTTGAGTCACTAGCCCGCTATGAAGGGCTCTCTAGTAAATTTGCAGTTTATGGTCCTCCACCCTGGGGTGCACTTCAAAATTACACAGGATCTTTTTAAAAAATGTATGGATACATGGGTCCCATCTCTGACCAATTGACTCAGAATCTCTAGAGGTAAGACCCCAGCATCAGTATTTTTCAAAAGATCCCTCAGTGATTCTGATGTGCCCCAGGGTTGAAGAATCAATGATTTCTTACTCATCTACTTAAAAATAGCTGAGGGAAAAGGAAGAGCCCCCCCCACTGCTTACCAGAAGAATTAGTATTTCAGCAATCTTTAGGGATCCAAGTCAGATACTTATCTAAAAGACATCAAGGGCATTGCTTCCACTTTTTCTCAAGTCATAAAGAAGATATTTTAACCCACTCTCTTTGCATATAAAGAAGGTGCAGGGAAATTGAGCATCTTTCCATGATATAGTAGAATTATTTTCAGAAAAGCAAAAACCAGTCTCCCAGCCCTCTTTTTGATTAGACTAAAAAGCTTTGTCATTAAGCCCTTACTTGAAACATGTGATGGACAGAAAGAAGCACTTCCTATCTGAGAAGCAGCCTCTAAAACAAGAAAAAAAAAAAAAAGATATAAAATTCCAGGGGCTGGGGTTGTGGCTCAGTGCTAGAGTGCTTGCCTAGCATGTCTGAGGCACTGGGTTTGATTCTCAACACCATATATAAATAAATAAATAATGAAGGTCATCAACAACTAAACAAATATTTTAAGAAATATAAAATTCCATTTGGAAGTGGTATGTTTAGACAGTAGTTGATATAAGCAACTAATTTTCTATGATATTATCTTCAGGGTGTGCATTAATGTCTTGCTATATAATTTAAGGTCTAAGGCCCAGGAACTTTGACTATATAAATTATTAAACAAAGCATTTCCCAAACATTATGTGGAAATAATTATGATCAATTTGGTAGGGTGTTCAAATAATTTGCTATTAATAAGAGTCTCTGTAACAGTGTGAATTAAAAGTTATTTCTATATAATAAAATCACTTTTCCCTTGCATACTGAAACTCTTTCTTAAGGGAAAGGGAAGCAGGTGCACTTAAGACAGCCCATCCCAGGAGGATTTATGTAGCCTTGGGTATGCCTGGAGTCTGAGGAAACTTTGATTGTCATCTGTTACCTGAGTCTAGGAGGAAAACAGGTCAAGAACTCTCAGTCCTATGTATTTTAGGTGCTTAACCAGCTATGTTACATTAATTATCACAGCAAAAATTTTAAATTTACTCATTTGACAAACAGTATTTGATTTGTTAAAGATGATGAAGTGACTGTTTGACTTTCCCCATGTGAGGCTGATGCTAGACCCAAGTTTTCTGGTTTCCTGAGGCTGTTGGATGATGGGCCTTGATATCAAAGTCTTGGGAAAACAGAATATTACTTGGCATTGTCACCTGGCACAGTACTGAGAACACCAGAGTGGGTGGGACTGTGGGCCCACCGCTTAGTTCCCCCAACTTTAGAAGTGCCAGGTGCCTGGATTCTGATGGACTGTCCTGGATTCAGTTAGCTAATGGAAGCAGATTGCTTCAGACCTACATCCCAAAGGCTGCTGGAATGGACTAACCTCAACCAAATGGGAATCCTAACCAGTCATATGAAAGCACTAAGCTTGAATAGAAAACCTAACCAGTCACTATACTACTTTTATGCCAAGATTCATTGTCTTAAAGAATCTGCCAACCTATAGTTCCTCTTCCCCCTTCACACATACCTATTTTTGCCTGTTATGATGACCCTGCTGGAATTTTGTTTTCCTTTTAGGTGTAGGTGAAAACCCTTAGTAAGATGGAATGCAAGTTGTGTATTTGTATGTGGAAAAGTCCAAAGGATATGCAAAAAGGTGCATAATTATAAGGCATGAGAACAGAGAAAAGGGAACAGGGATTTATTTTTTAAATAAATTTATGTTTTTTACTTTTTTAAAAAAATTGTTCTAATTAGTTACACATGACAATAGAATGTATTTTGACATATCATTTGTAAACAGAGTATAATTTCTTATTCTTCTGGTTGTACATGATGTAGAATTACACCAGTCAAGTAATCATATATGCACATAGGGTATTAATGTCCAATTCATTCTACCTCCCTCCCCTCCCTTCACTCCCCTTTAATCTAAAGTACCTCTATTTTTCCCTAGTCCTCATACCCTTATGTGAATTAGCATCCATATATCAGACAAAATATTTGGCCTTTGGTTCTGGCTTATTTTGCTTAGCATGATTTTCTCCAGCTCCATCTATTCATCACCAAATTCCATAATTTCATTTTTCTTTAAGGCTGAGTAATATTCCATTGTGTACATATACCACATTCTCTTTATCTAGTCATCTGTTGAAGGGCACCTAGGTTGGTTCCACAGTTTAACTGTTATGAATTGAGCTGCTATAAACATTGATGTGGCTGCATCATCATAGAATGTTGCTTTTAAGTCCTTTGGATATAAACTAAGGAGTGGGATAATTGGGTCAAATGATGGTTTCATTCCAAGTTTCCGGAGGACTCTACATACTGCTTTGCATCAATTTGCAGCCCCACCAACAATGTATGAGTGTACCTTTTTCCCCACATCCTTACCAACATTTATTGTTGCTTGTGGTTTTGATCATTGCCATTCTGACTGGAGTGAGATGAAATCTCAGTGTAGTTTTTATTTGCATTTCTCTATATGAACATTTCTCTATATGAAAAATACATGAACATTTTTTCATATATTTGTTGATGGATTATATTTATTCTGTGAAGTGTCTGTTCAAATCCTTAGCCCATATATTGATTGGGTTATTTGCTTTTTGATGTTATTTTTTTTTTAGTTCTTTATTTATAATGGAGATTAATGCTGTATCTGAGGTACATGTGGTTAAAATTTTCCCATTCTGTAGGCTCTCTCTTCATGTTTTTTCCTTTGCTGAGAAGAAGTGTTTTAGTTTGATTACATCCCATTTATTGATTCTTGATTTTACTTCATGTGCTTTAGGGGTCTTGTTAAGGAAGTCAGTTCCTAGGCTGACATGGTAGAGATTTAGGCCTATTTTTTCTTCTGTTAGGCACAGGGTCTCTGGGTGCCTAAGTCCTTGATTCACTTTGAGTTGATTTTTGTGCAGGGTGAGAGAGAGGGGTTAAATTTCATTTTGCTACATAAGGATTTCCGGTTTTCTCAGCACCATTTATTGAAGAGGCTATCTTTTCTCTATTGTATGTTTTTGGTGCCTTTGTCTAGTATGAGATAACTGTATTTATGTGGGTTTGTCTCTGTGTCTTCTATTCTGTACCACTGGTCTACAAGTTATTTTGGTGCCAATACCATGCCGTTTTGTTACTATGGCTCTGTAGTATAATTTAAGGGCTGGTATTGTGATGTCTCCTGATTCAATTTTCTTGGTAAGGATTGCTTTGGCTATTCTGAGCCTCTCATTTTTTCAAATGAATTTCATGACTATGTTTTCTATTTCTATGAAGAATGTCATTGGGATTTTAATAGGAATTCCATTAAATCTGGATAGTGCTTTGATAGTATGGCCATTTTGACAATATTAATTCTGCCTATCCAAGAGCATGAATGATCTTTCCATCTTTTAAGGCCTTCTTCTATTTCTTTCTTTGGTATTCTGTAGTTTTCATTGTAAAGATCTTTCACCTCTTTTGTTAGTTTGATTCCAAAATATTTTATTTATTTGAGGCTATTGTGAATGGGGTAGTTTTCCTAATTTCTCTTTCAGTGGATTCATCACTGATGTATAGGAACACATTTGATTTATGGGAGTTAATTTTATATCCTGCTTCTTTGCTGAATTCATTTATTAGTTCTAAAAGTTTTCCAGTGGAATTTTTTGGATCTTCTAAATATAGAATGGTGCATTATCTTTTTAATATATTGATTGCAATTTGACAGAATTTTATTGAGATTTTTTTGCATCTATGTTCATCAGAGATATTGGTCTGAAGTTTTCTTTCCTTGATGTGTCTTTGCCTGGTTTTGGTATCAGAGTGATACTAGCTTCACAGAATGAGTTTGGAAGGATTCCCTCTTTTTCTATTTCATGGGATAATTTGAGGAGTATTGGTATTAATGCTTAAAATAAGTTATTTATTATAAGGAAAGTCTGTATAAAATGGAATTCCCAGATTGAAGGACTGGTATAATGATTATGTTAGAATTTCTTTTAATATTATAAAAGTCCTTTCTTCTATTTGAGTAGCATCAACTGTACAGATACGTGTTTGGAAGGAGTTCCTTAAAACAATTTTTAAAAAGACTTGCATATCTTGGTTCAGGCCTCTTCCAAATTTGGGAAGTCTTGGCTTTTAAAAGTATAGGCTTCCTTTGTTTAGTAAATAAATTGCTTTTTGATTTCAGGCTATCTCTGTAAGTAAACGGACTCTGGTTTTATGATTGAAACCTGTAAGAAAAGTTAAGCTTGTAACACAAAACAGCTATGCATACATCTTTTAAAAGTATTTATGTACCAAGAAAAAGTACATAACTTTATTATGAAACGCTTATCAGGTATTAGAATTTTAGTTAGCTTTATATAAACAGAATTATAACCTAGCTTTCTAAAGTAAATACAAAGTGAATGGTTTTGCTTTCATTTTTGAAGACTTTAATTGTCATTTGTTTTGCAGTGGAAGGACTCTGCGAAGGGATCGGTGCTGGATTAGTGGATGTTGCTATCTGGGTTGGCACTTGTTCAGATTACCCGAAAGGAGATGCTTCTACTGGATGGAATTCAGTATCTCGCATCATTATTGAAGAACTACCCAAATAAATTTTTCATTCCCTACCTCTTTTTTTTTGAATCATACCTTTGGTTCATTTAAATGACATTTAAAAAATCATTTTATACATATATTTGAGTGAAAAACAAAGCTAAAAATGTTTACAGACCAAAGTGTGATTTCACACTTTTTTTAAACCTAGTACTATCCATTTTATTTCAATCAAAATGGTTTCAGGATTTTTTAGTTGATTAGAATCCTTTCCTCCTATTCACATTCTCTGAACCTATAGTTGGAATGTCATTGTGGTCTTTAGTTTTTCCTATTCTGTTAGCATAGCCTTTTAAAAAAATATCCAAATTACCAGTTTTTGTACAAGTTGTAAATGTTTAAAATTGTTTTATATCTGTTAAATAAAACTTATTTGAAACAAATTTCCTTAAACTAATTTCCACTAAAATTGAAGTTTCCAGTATTTTATATCTGAAGAGTACAAATCTAATTTTGTATTTATTCATTTAACAACTTATGAATTTCAATATGGTGCCATATCTTGAAGAATACAAAGAGAAAAGGATGTCTAAGTGCTAGGAAATTGTAAGAGAACTGTAGGAATTTTATCTTTATTTAACAGAGTAAAAAGACATGGACTCTGGCTTCCAGTTGTTTACCCTTTGGTAGAAAGGATCAGACATACACAAAAATAAAAGTGTTGAAAGGGATAGTGTAGGTCAAAGGAAGAAAGATCAGAAAGAATTCACGAAGGCTGGGTAGGTGTAAGACTGATGAACTTAAGCAAATTATAGGCTTGAATTGGAATTATTAGTATGAACTAATAAAATACTTTATCTTAAGTAAAGCCAGAAAACAGTAAGGACATAATCTTTTAGCCTTGTACTGAAAGGGCCTTCTAACAATGATCAGTCCAGTGACACTCAGATTGTGATCCCAATATACCATTTGCTACTAAAAGGATCTTTAAAAAATGGGTGATTTGGGGACAGGAAATGTATCTGAGCCTGTAACACTTTGCCATACTTGAAAATAAGGCAACTATACAAGACAAGTCAAAAGGCTCTTAAAGAGCCAGCTGGAACTGTTTCCCATTGGCAAGGATGACACGATTTGAGCATAAATAAAAATAATAACTACAGTGGTTTGAAACATATCAAGCATGTTTCAGTGCATGCATTCATAATATATTAAAATAAATTTTATTGGTCAACTTATAGGATACCAGCAAACCAGCTTGTTACTTTGAAAATTGGTAAATAGAACCAAACATTTGTTCTGCCAAGTTTTTATGAAATATAACTCTGTAACCAAATAGTTGATGAAGGGGAATTTCTCTTTATAGAAATACATATACACATACACACAGTATTATGTATCTTATAGCAATATCCTACATTGATATAACTAATAAAAGTAATAACATTACTTTTTTTTCAACCCTATGAATGAAGGAATCTAACAACATTCATCAATGACTGATAACATTCCCAAAACAGTTTAGCGCCTTCTAATAAAATTACATGGCACCATCCAGGAAGTAGTTTTTCCAAGAAATCAAACCTGGATCTGCTTTTGCCTCCATATCTAATCATTAGTTTGTAGGAAATACAGGAGATAAAAGAACATGTTCATTGATACCAAAGATACAATCAGAAAAATTCAGACTTGAAAGACAAGTTGGCTTTTTCAACAAATAAATTGTAAGAAAATTAAAAAAACATGTATTAAAAGAGACTTAAGATTATAACAACCAATTAAAACGTTTGCATTATGTGGACAGATTCAAGCAAACCATAAACACAAAACAAGAACAAAATTTCTTTGAGATAACTGACATTTGAACACTGTCTAGATATTTAATGGTATTAAATAATTGTTACTGAGGTCCAATAATGTTATTATAGTTATTTTAAAATAATGTTTGCTGGGGCTGGGGTTGTAGCTCAGTGGTAGAGCACTTGCCTAGCATGTGTGAGGCCCTGGGTTCAATCCCCAACACCATGTAAAACTAAAACAAAATAAATGCATTGTGTCCATCTAGTAAAAAAAGTTTGCTGAAGAAAAATTGATATGATGCCTGAAATCAACTTCAAAATAATCTGAAAAGGGGAAGTAGGAGGGTCTAGATAAAATAGTATTGAAGATAGTAGATATTAACCCCCCCAAAATGTGACAAAGAACAGGGAATTAAAAACATTTTGGGTAAGAGAAAGAATATTAGTTAAGATTCTAGGGTAGGAAGTCATGTTTAGAGAACAACAGGTTGAGCTCAAAGCATGTGTGTAGGAAAAGAGAGAGAAATTCGGGAAAGGAGGTTGAGAAAATGCTATGGAAGTCAATACCTGATTTGTCTGTAGAGCAGCAGAGTGCTATTGACAGGTGGACAGAGGAACATAGCCAGGCACAGCGGTACACACATCTAATTCCAGCGACTTGGCAGGGTAAGGCAGGAGGATTGCAATTTGAGACCAGTTTCAGCATTTTAGCAAGCCCCTGTCACAAAATTAAAAAATAAAAAAGCACAGGGATATAGCTCAGCTGTAAAACACCCTGGAGTTCAATCCTCAGTACCAAATAAACAAAAATCAAAATAAATTTTGATAGCTCAGTGAAAAAAAAGAAAATTAGAAGTCCAAAGACTGAAGGAAGGCTAGATGATGAGGCTGTTGAGACAACAAAAAGTCAAACCCACAATCAAAAAGTGGGCAAAAGAAAGAAATGAGTAGGCATTACTCCAAAGAAGATACAAACACATGAAAAAACACTCAACATCATTAGTCATTATAGAAATGTAAGTTAAAATCATAATGATTTAACCACTTTATACCCAGTAGGATGGCTATAATTTAAAAAAATGGAAAATGTTGGTAAGAGTGTGAGAAACTAGAACTCTTAATAACATTGCTGGTGGGAATATAAAATGGTACAGACTAATGAGAAACAGTTTGGTGGTTCCTCAATGTTAAATGTAGAATTACCATATGACCCAGCATTTCTATCCCTAGATATATATCCAAAAGAACTGAAAACAGGTTATAAACAAAAACTTGACCATGAATATTCATAGCCATATTATTCACAATAGTCAAAAGGTTCAAACAACCAAAATGCCCATTAACTGAAAAAAATGAATAAAAATATAGGGTATGAATACAATAGATATTATTTAGCCATAAAAAGGAATGAAGTACTGATATGTGAAAGAATCTAAAAACATACTAAACAGAGGAAGCCAGACACAAAACGCCATGTTATAGCAGACTAGTGTTTGCTGGGGACTGTGGAAGGAAGAATGGGGAACAACTGTTCACTAAATACAGAATTTCCTTTAGAGATATTGAAAATGTTCTGGAACTATATAGTGGTGATGGTTGCATAACATTATGAAGCACTAAATGCAACTGAATTGTATAAACTGAAGAAAATGGCAAGCTCTTGGTACATACATTATACACGGGGTGGAGGTGGGGGTGGGAGAAGCTACTGGAATGGATGGCTTTATAGAAATTGATGACTCTAGGAATAAAAGAGTGAACCTATTTGAGAGATGTCCAAAAGAGACTCAAAAAGAAACTGGATATAGGAAAATGGATCACAGGAGAACCAAGTATCACTTTTGAGATTTCAATCTTGGACACTGGAAGAAAAAGAAATAGGTCCGATTTAGTGGCCAAATGGCTTTGAAGTTGCTGAGTTTGCATTACTAACAGGAAACTGTATCACAGATGACCAATGGGCAGTTGGAAATGAATCTGGTGCTCAGAGGAAAGTTTAGGAATGGAGATGGATATGTGGAAGTTTTTAGCATAGAAGTGATAATTAAAGCCATGAGATCACAAAGAAAAAAAGTGAAGACAGAGGCAAGTGCAGGACAAAGAAAACTTCAGAATAAGGAAGTTTAGTGGTTAATAGCAATTCTAGTCCTTTCCTTAAATTTATTATTGCTTCTCCTAATCAAGTGCTTCTCAACTTTAGCTGTATATTACCCTCACTTGGGAGAAGTAGAGGACTTTCTAACTCAAATTTAGAGGTTACTAGAGAGAAGTGTGGTCAACCAATTACATAAAAATAAATTTTGTAAAGTGAAAAACATCATAAGCAAAGTTGAAATACAAATAAAATAGCTGGTTACAGTATTTGTAACTCGAATCACAACCCCCACTAGTAAAAAGTCCCTAGAAATTGAAAAGTAGATCATAAGCAAAGGTAAATACAGGTAACTGTTCACAATGTTTGAACCTTGTATCACAGTCCTCATTTGTAAGTAGCTCCTCAAAATCATTAACTAAAGACTAAATCCCAAAAGAAAGTAGGCAAAGAACATAGTTCACAGACATATGAGAATAAACAGGTGGGAAATAAATCCCATAAAAATCCAGGAGATTGTCACCTCTTTGTTATTTCTGGGGGATTATTAATCTGAAGTATGTTGATCCATATTCTTCATGGTGATACAAGTTGCTGAACCTTTTGTCACCTACCACAAAAAAAAAAAAAAAAAGCTACACCACATGCAGACTTTATTGGATTTTAGAGGCAACATATAACACCCGAGTGTGCTACTTCAACCCAACTAGAATCATCCCCATGGCTGCCAGTTTTGAAGGAGAATCACAGCAAGAGAAGGCTCTGAAACAAATCCAGTCTGCTGTAGAAATGGGACTACCACTTGGTACCTATGATCCAATGGAGTCAATGATCTAGGAGTTTTTATAGTTAATAGGGGTGGTAAATGATATCTTCAGGGAAAATCAAAGACAGAACCTCTAGGATTTTGTAAGAAAATTATGGCCTTTTCTCTAAAGATAACTATTTTACCCCCAAAAAACAAAACCCCAAACAACCAAGCATCTGGCATGCTACTGAGCATTGGTAGACATCAGGTGACCATATGGCCTGAGTTTCCCATATTACCTGGGTGTTTTCGGACCCATTTGAAAGTTTGAGAATGCAGATGTGTAGTAGCAATCATAGTAAGGAAATGGCCTATGAGACAGCTTGGGAAAGTCCAGAAGGTACCTTTAATACCAACTCTCCCATACTTCATGCCTATGGCCTCCTGGTGTGTTCAACAGTTGACTGACCTTAAAAAAAAAAAAAAAAAAAGTGAGCCTGGTTTACAGAAAGGTCTGCATGTTACTATGACACAAGCCCAAAGCAGATACGCTGATGTAAGCCCAAAGCTATAGCACTATAGTCCCCGTAACAGGTGACCCTGAAGGAGAGTGAAGGAAAACTGAGTGGGTACTTCACGCACTGGAGTGAAAAATGATCAAAGTATAGACCTATACTAATTCATGGACAGTTACTGTTGCTTTAGCTGGATGGTTAGGGAACTAGAAGAGCCACAGAAAATGGTAACAGGAAATTTCTGACAAGATGTAGTGGATGGATCTCTGTGAGGATATTTGTGTCCCTTGTCAATGACTACCAAAGTGCAACCAATGCAGAGCACACTCTTAAGAATGAGGGATTGCCAGACAGGGTGGCATATGCCTGTAATCCCAGCGGCTTGGGAGGCTGAGGCAGGACTGAGAGTTCAGAGCCAGCCTCAGCAATGGTGAGGCGCTAAGCAACTCAGTGAGACCCTGTCTCTAAATAAAATACAAAATAGGGCTGGGGATGTGGCTCAGTGGTCGAGTGCCCCTGAGTTCAATCCCCAGTAGCTCCCCCTACCCCCGCCACAAAAAAATAATAAGGGATAAAATAATACAGTGGGTGTGTCAGTTTTTTTCTCCAGCCACTTCAGTGCTTTCAAAGATACTAGGTAATCATATAAAAGTCCCAAAGTACTTACTATTCATACAGTGGCATCAATTTCTATAGAAACAAGAGTTCATTACATGGCAGCTGATGGAAAGTAAGTTTAGGATCTATATCAAATGCTGTGTCACTTATGAAGCATTCAACTACAACCAGTAATAGAAAAATCCAACTGAGACCAACTTTTAAATGAAGAAAATTTATTGTTCACCCTGAAAACTTCAGGGATATATGTTGATGGATAGATGGCGAGTTGATTCAGAATTCCATAAATGTGACTTAGAACATGGTTTCTGTCAATCTCCTATAGTTGCTTCATTGATGTTGACTCTATTTTGGACAAATTTCACCCAATTCATGATCCTAAATTGGTTTCCAGGAGGTCGGAGAGTTATATGCATCCTCATTCAAGAAACAGCAAAAAGAAACATCTGTCAACATACTCAGGAAAAAGATCTTTAAGTGTTACTTTGATTGAATTAAATAACTGTCATTTTCAAACTGGCCATTATCATTAGCAGAGATAGTACCTTCAGATTGGCCTTGCCAATCAGGGCTAATCTTTGGGGAGGTGAGGCCAGTTCCTTCTAAATCATAAAGCTGAGAATGGAGGGAAGAGGTAGGTTTTGAAAGAAATTCAGGCTACTTCTCCAAGAAATAGAAAAGGACACAGGGCAGTCAATAGCAGGAATTCATTACAGATATTTCCTATTTACTCTTTTAGAAAGAAGTTCAAAATTTTAACCCCAAACCACATATTTTCTGTATGTTACCTAACACATATGATTAAGAAAAATCATTTCTTCATTATATTTATTTATCTACTTTAAAAAATATTTTTTAGTTGTCATTGGACCTTTATTTATATATGGTGCTGAGAATCAAAACCAGTGATTCACATATGCTAGGCAAGCGCTCTACCACTGAACCACAACCCCAGTCCCTATATTTATTTTAATAATCACTACAGAGAATTTGCTACAAAATTGGTAATAATACAATTATTATTGTATTATTCAAAAGAAATCCTAATGACTTCTGAAATCAAACACACTTTAGCTAATATCCCTATTTTAGTGTGCTGTCTAAAAAACATGACACTATAATTGTTGTCAGACCACAAAAACATGTATTGAAATGGAATGGCCATCTTTTTTTTTTTTTAAAGAGAGAGAGAGCGAGAGAGAGAGAGAATTTTTTTAATATTTATTTTTTAGTTTTTTTCGGCAGACACAACATCATTGTTTGTATGTGGTGCTGAGGATTGAACCCGGGCTGCATGCATGCCAGGCGAGCGCGCTACCACTTGAGCCACATCCCAGCCCTGGAATGGCCATCTTTACAAAGCATGATACCCATTGCTTTGGGTATCTGATCATGGTTTCTGATGCACAGCTTCAAGTTGTTCATTTTTTGGCTTGTCTTTTAGTACTCTACAGTCATGTTCTGGTTTTTCCTTTGCCAACCTCTCCCATCTCCATCCCTTCCTAGACTTATAATACTTTTTCATGATAAAGTTTACTTTTCCGGGGCTGGGGTCGTGGCTCAGTGGTAGCACACTTGCCTGGCACGTGGGAGACACTGGGTTCGATCCTCAGCACCATTTAAAAATAAATAAATAAGATAAAGGTATTGTATCCATCTACAACCCCCGCCCCCGCAAAATTAAAAAAAATAAAGTTTACTTTTCCTTTATAAGTTGAAATCTATGGTGAAATACATCCTCACAGTTCACTTACTACCTCAGCTATTTGCAACCTGTCCTCAACTTCTATAAATCAAATCTGCTTAAAATTGCCAATAGCATCAATATTCAAACTACCAAAATATTTACATGGTTGATAACATTTTTTTTTAGTTTGCTTCTCCTATCTGATTGGTCTTCCTATCACCCCTAGCCATGTCTCTGTACTAATTACTTGCACTTCTCTTTTATGGAGTAAAACCCCAACAGGTTTAGTAAGGTTCAGAGTTAGCCTCTGGCTGCATCTTTATGTGTGTGTTTGTGTATTGCTGGAGATTGAATCCCAGGGCCTTATGCATGCAAGGCAAGCACTCTACTGAGTTATATCCCGAGCCCACTGGCCCAAGTCTTGCAGCTCACTTTTTCATTTATTATCCTGACAACTCACTGCTCAAGACAGGCCACCTCCACTTCCTGCTTGCTACAATTTTCTTGAGATTCCCTTTATAATCTTCCTTCCCTTTATAATCTTCCATCAAGGCCCAGCTTAAATATTTTCCCTTTCATGAACCCTGTTCTAGTTCCCCTCAAGCTGTAAATCACCACCTCTGACTTGATCGACAATGTCTAAGCTACCACCGATTCTTTTTCTTTTTTAATTTGTTCTACTGAGTTGTACATGACAGATGAATGCATTTCAATTCATCATACACAAATGGAGTGCAACATTTCAATTCTCTGGTTGTACACAGTGTAGAGATACACCATTCATGCAATCATACATGTACCTAGGGTAATGATGTCCATCTCATTCCACCATCTTTTCTACCTCCATAACTCCTCCCCACCCCACCCCTTCGCCCAATCCAAAGTTTCTCCATTCTTCCCATGTCCCCACTCCCCACCCATCACAGATCAGCATTCACTAATCAGAGAAAATATTTGGCCTTTAGTTTTTTGGGACTGGCTTACTTCACTTAGCGTAATATTCTCCAACTCCATCCATTTACCTGCAGATGTCATAATTTTATTCTCTTTTAATGCTGAGTAATATTCCACTGTATGTGTATATATATATAATATACATATAATATATATTTATTACAGATTCTTTATCCATTCATCTATTGATGGGCATCTAGGGTGCTTCCACAGTTTAGCTATTGTGAATTCAGGTGCTATAAACATTGGTGTGGCTATATCACTATAGTATGATGATTTTAAGTCCTTTTGGTATAGATTCCGGAGTGGGATAACTGAATCAAATGGTACCACCAACTCTCGACTAGACACCTGTAACCTTCCTAACCAGTATCCCTGCTTCTTGCCTGTCTCCTAATAGTTTCTCCACAGTCACCAGAATGATTTCTCATACAATCTAAACTACTTACCATGGCCTACAAGATCCGGTTTCTGTTAAGGTTTATTGTTCCAAGAACTGTGTTACATTTTTTTTTTTTTTGGATTAATTCAATTAATCCTGTCAATAATCCTATGGCTATGTATCCGATGCTGCTGATGACTCATCTAGATCCCTTTTACAGGGCTGGTGCATTTGTACACTAGTTGCTACAGGTGTTGGCTGCCAACAGCTTTCCACCCTTATGTGGAGGACTGCCCTTACTCTTCTTTCCCTTCCTTATCCATTTTCTTTATTCTGTTATAGAATTTTCCTAAGAGTACTCCTTCAGTCATTTGCCCAAGAATCCCCATCTCAGGCACTGCTGGAGGAACTGATCTGACACATAATTTCCCAGATGAGGAACCAAGAGGTAGGTGAAATGATCTGCCTTAGGTCAAACAGAAAATTAAGAGGTTGAAACTTGAAGCCAGTCTGATTTACCAGCCTGCACTCTTTCCTGCAATGCTGTAGTGGTACTTCTCCAACCTCCCCTCTCTCATTTATCCTCTAGTCAAGTTAAGTCCTGCCTGAGGGTCTTTGTAATTTCTATTCTCCCTGCCTAGAATATGTTGTCTCTATTTTCTTGTAGTTTGTTTCTCCACTTCTTTAAAAATGTCTCAAATATTACTATCTCAAAAAGACCCTGCCTTACACAAGCCATCCTAAGAAGCTAACACTATCCTCAATTCTACTTCATTTTATTTGCTTTCAACACCTGAAATTATACACAGATTTGTTTTCTGACACTCATACTAAAATGAAAATCCTGAAGGTAGGAATGTTTTCTAGCTGACTTACCACTATATCCCTGAAGCCTGGTAACTGGCACTCAGTAACAGGTAGTTGATAACTATTTGTTGTTGAATGAGTGAAGTAAGATCTCCTTTCTCAGACCTCTTATAGAAACTCTCTGTAGAAATTTCCTTGCATGTTCTTAATTTAGAACTGTAGTTATTTAATGCAAATTTTATTATGTAAGCTTATATGCTCTGGAGGACAAGAATTATGATTTATTAATTTGGGGATACATAGCAGGATTCAAATGACGGTACTTCTAAAACTCCAAATATCAACTACAGCTTATCTTTCCATATAGGTATTAATATCAGGATTTCATATGAATTACAATATAATCCAGAAATATGAAAAAAATGCCATGCTTAATTTATAAAGCATTCCTATGCATGTTACAATATGGATTAAATACAATTAGGTACTCATCATTTCATCTTTATTTTAAAAACAATGCCATTTCCAAAATATAAAAAATAGACCTATTTTCAAAGAACCATTAAAATATGGTTTTGAAAACCATAATATTTTATTTACAACAAGTAGATGGTAGTGCAATAGCATGCAATGATGTTTATGATAAATAAAGTGTCAGTATTATTCTGGCATCTTTTTGGGGGTAGGCTTTTATACTTACAGAGAGTTAGAATGACTTTAACAAGTAAAGATCAATAATAGCCATTAATGTAATGTGTACTTCAATGTGAATTTGAGTGATCAATGTAGATTGATCATTTATTTGGGAACTGGATCCATACATCTGGAAATTAAAGTAGAAAGTTAAAACTTTTTTTTTTTTTTTTTTTTTTTTTTTTAGTTTATTAACAAACACATCCCAAATACTCCAGCATTGGTACAAGGGAATCTACTGAGCATTTCTCATTAAGTGATTCATAGCCACACATGCTAAATAATGACTGTCATAGCCAGACCCTAGAAGTTTAGATTTTACAACTTTAAACTACATTAAGTATTTATGTCCCCCACCAAGAACTAAGTCCAGGATTACGTTTTAAATTATGTTAGAGCCATGGGGGAAATAATAAGCAATGTAATGACAAAAAATTTTAGCTATTTCTCAGAAAATTACATAATTCCTCAAATTTTTACAGTTGGTGTGTTCCAAATGAATTTTAAAACTAAAGCATGTTTACAATGGACTTTTCTCATTAAATATCCCCACTTAAAAAGATCTGGATTTGGCTAATACCTTATTCAGTAAATTCTTAACACCTTATTCAGTAAATTGTTAAAGTTTAATTTATCCTTGAAACAAACAACATTCTTTTAAGAAGCTGTTTTCTTGCTATTGCACAAGGTCAATTTAAAGTCAATCCAGGCAAACAAGATTCCTCTAATCCATTTAGCAAATGTTGCAAATTAGTTTCTACTTGAACAATGAAATGTCTGAAACTCTACAGTCGGTGTCAGTTTTAACATGCTGATGTCAGCCATGACAGGTAGAGGTAGCCAAGTCCCATATACGTGAAGATAAGAAGCAGAAATCATTGTGAAGACTTAGCAGCTCTTTGACTTCTAAAGATTAAAGACAAATTATGTTTATGAGCCATTTTGCTGTGTGGCATTCTTCTGAGTTTTATGTCTCAAACCCAAAGGAGCTTGTTGCTGTCTTGGGCAAACATACTGAAATTACCTTTCTTTCTTTCTTTTTTAGCTTACTTTCTTGTCTCTAAGGCCAAGTAAAAAATGTGAGACATTTTCATATACCACAAAGGTAATACAGCAGGCTGGAGTCACTCTAATCAAATTGGGGGCAATTCCTTTGTAAAATCCACCGATGCCTTCTTTCCTTTAGAGGGAAAAATAGATATATGCTTAATTTCCTAAACAGTAAGCCAGAAAATACAAATTTTAACTGAGATAGGACAGGGAGTAAATAGTCAAATCTTGCTCTGATTTAAGTAAAAATATAGTTTGTAGCCATTTGTAGGGGCCTACATTCTTTTTATAAACTGACTAAGAAAGGGGTTGGAAACACCTCAAAACTGAACTGGAAAAGTGCTTTAAATTAACCATCTTTGAAATGCTTTTAACTGTACGGATATGTAGCAGTTTTAACTGATCTAATTAAAAATCACATAGCTTATATAAATGCCCACAACAGTAAATCTAACACATATAAAAATTTATTTCCTTGATGCCTCCAATATGGAATAAGGCCTAGGAACTTATCACTTAGGTTCTCATTCAGTATTTCTTGAATTGAACTCAATTTACCATTACAAATATTCTGCTCTGGTTTTTTAGAATTAAAGGTAGATAACAGTTATTCTCATAAAGAAAAGCAAACATCTCTTCCATACTGGGGCCTTCTAAAATGTATTAAACTAGTAGGTTTTACTGCTTCTTACATTCAATACCAAATATTTACAACACCTCAATTTTATTATTTTTTCATGTATCTCATTTTTTTTCCTTGAGATGAGGGTCTTTCTGTGTTGGTCAGGCCAACCTCTTAATTCACAATCCTCTTGACTCAGTCTCCCAAGTAGCTGTGTCACCACCCACAGATCTCATTTTATTTTTATATCCATCTTGTCAGACTAGTTAGTCTAAGTTTACAAATGAAAAAATCAAGTCTCAGAGAATTAAGTCCATGCCTACACAGCAGTAGTACTTAATGGGAAAGCAGTGACCACTAGCCATATTTTTTACCACAGCAATTTGGCCTTTGTTATACAACATGTACAGAATAAAATAAGTAAGGCTCTTCATCACAACAATTCTGATATTCTGCACACTTACCTCCATGTCTTTGCAATTACATCCGTTACACCACTATAAAACATGTGTTGATCCTGAAGACGGGCTCTCACAACTTGATATGGGTATGTTGCTGCTACAGCAAATATTTTGGATAGTGCAGCCACAGATATATATTCTACTGTGCTCTAAAATGCCAACACAAAACATTTACAGACAGGACTTCTTTAAAAATATAGAATAAAAACTATAAAGGACAAAAATATTTAAATAAACCTTTAGATGAAAAATACTGTTTTTCCTCTTTAATGCAAACTCTATGTAATTATGTGGTTTCACTTTAAACATATGTGTATCATTAACTTAATATATAACTGAATATTTAAATACAAATTAAATTAGTAGAGTCAGCATTCATTATCACAGCCATACTACCAAAGTACGCATGACAAAATTTCCATCTCTTAAATGCCTATACAAGTAAATGACATCGTTTTTACAAGAATCATCTTACCAGTTGGGCTTCTGGTAATCTATTGATATGCTGGTTATATTTCAACTTTAGCAATTCATATGCCATAAACTGAAGGGCACCATGTGATGTTCCAAACAGCCCAGGAATAAATCCCTAAAAGGGAACAATTAAAAAAGAGCAAAAACTAAACAACTTTCAAAGAAAGATACATTTAAGTCAAATATATTTTCTCTCCTCTTAAGTGTAGTACTTTAAGCAAAATTTTATATAAGGTTAAAATACTATTTTTTTACTTTAAATTGGGAGGTTGGGATAGGAGGATTGCAAATTTTGGCTAGTCTCAGGAACTCAGTGTGGCCCTAAGTAACTTAGCAAGACCCTGTCTGAAATAAAAGGGGGAGGGGGCCTTGGGATGTAGCTCAGTGGTAAAGCCCCCTGGGTTCAATCCCCAATACTGGCTGCCCCTCCCCACCTGCCTCCAATATGTATTTTCTTGTTAGTTCTTCTTTAAACAGTACATGTATAAACATAAAGACAATGTACACCATCAAGAACCAGGTATGAGCAGGCAGTTAGATTCTGGAAAAGTGAAAAAGGAGAGGTAATGATAATTCAATTAAATAAGTATAGATATTCTAAAAGAATAAAGCAAAAAAGTGATGGAGGAAACACAGAATTGATTTATTTCCAAAACTTTTGCCTATAAGTCAGTAGTCTATAACAATCACCTCATGTTATTGATTTTAAAAACTAGTACACAATTCTTTAAAAAAACTAACATTGAATAAATCTAATTTTGATTTTAAACTGTGGATGACTGAAAAATAAGTACTGTGGGAACTAGGTGTGGTGGCACATGCCTATAGCTTGAGATAATCAGGAGCTTGAGGCAGGAAAATCACAAGTTAAAGAACAGCCTGGTATACAGTGAGACCCTGTCTAAAACTATAATTTTTTAAAAAGAGCTAGGTATGCAAGGGTATGTAGCTTAGTGGAGGGCACCAGCCTATCATATATGAAGCCCTGGATTCAATCTCCAAAAATATGGGGAAAAAATTTATAGGAATAAGACACAGGTGGGAGTGGATGATAGAGAAGCAGAAAATGGGGGGACAGGAGTTATAAAAATCAGAAAACAGATGTTAATGCCACTAGTAAGATATTTCAAAATTATCACAATAGGCAAGGGAGTAGGGTTTTTGTTATTTAAAAAATTCAAGTAAGGTTTGAAGTTTGCACAATTTCCAGTAAAATAAGATGCTATCAAACTCACTTATCTCTTCTCCAGACATGTTATCCCAACTTGGCTGTTTGACTTACTGAAAAGACACCTGACAAAGTTTTAGACAGTTCTCACACCCACCAGTGTCATGATGATAGAGAATAAATAGCTTAAAATACAATTTCAATATTATAAGTTACATTTGAGTTTTCATTCAATTGTATCTTGCCTAAGGGAGGCTTCTTTTTAGGACTGAATCCAGGTCATTCATAAGAGAAACAACAGAGCCAAGAGAAACTGCAATTTTCAATTATTGAAAATATATTGATGACTCATTACCTTATACAATCCACGCACACCTTCATACTTATATATTTTCACAAGTGCATCAAACATTCCTTTATATTGCCGCTGTGAGGAGTTAACAACACCTTCATACTGTAACATAAGGCGAGTTTTTGTTACCCATAATGGGTTTGTAATGCAGAGGGTCATGGCTCCTAAAATCAAATTTGAAGAAGATTACTCAGCATACAGATGCTTTTCTACTTAATTCAAACTAAAATACAGTCCATTATGTAAAAGAGGAGGTTACCTAGAAGCTGTATCTGGAACGGCAAGATGTGGTCTTTTTAGGGTCAAATCATAGTCATAATTTTTGAGAGTTCTAAAAAAATTCCTCATGTGGGAGTGAGAGGTAAGTTAAGAGGGAGACAGAAATGAAAAACACTTCAGGATAGCAAAGATGCCTTGACTCCTAACCAACGTAGCCTGGTATAGAAAATAGATGGAAAGGAGACACAGATCTTAGGAGCAGAAGACAGAATAAACCAGAGGGGCTGAAGGTAAAAAGGAAACCAGGAACCTAGCATCTCATTAATCTGTGCATGTACACACATAGGTCCAACCCCTTTATCACAATCTTCCCCAAACCCATTCAAAGTAGCTACTTCCCCTCAAAAACTAACTGTGTGATGCAATAAGTCACAACCTACATTCTTCACCGAAAATGACAACTTTGTAAGAGAAAAAACTAACTAGTCAAGTTTCTCATTTTCTACATTTCTAAGGAGTCCTTTATTAAACCAATATTTGTTGAGTCTTGTTATGATTCTGCTAGCAGCTAGTTATTAAAAAATGAGTGGAATTGTCCTTGCTTTAAAAAACATTCAGTAAACATTGAGAAACCAAGGTAGCAAGGTATCAAAGTAGGATTTATAAAGATTTATGGGTCTCACTTTGTTCTTTTCTCTAGATAGTACACAAATATAAGTCGATGAATGAGGCTACTAAATTGAATACTTACAAAATTGAACTTATACTTTAAAAAAAAAACATATACCAAATCATCTTAATATATTAGGGATTCATAACTTTTTAATTTTTTCCACCCTTTGTGATAAGTACAATTTTTGAAATCCAGAATGCTCAATAAGGACAATCCTAAGAAATATTATGTGATAACTAATTAGTATACTTAGATAAATTTACTTAAATTCTGGTGTCCAAAAAAAAAAAGACAAAAAATAAAAATGGAAAACAAATTTGGAAGGTGATGTTTTATATTTCACACATTGCCTTACCAGCTTCAGCAGCTGAGATGAGGTATTCTGTTGCCTCTAACCGTTCAGCTCTTCCTTCTGTTTTATATGATTTGATGGCATTGTAACTAAAAGAATTAAACATAAGCAGTTTAATTAAAATAGATGTCTTAAAACAATAAAATCTGTTTTAAAGAATGTGTAACTTAATGGCACTATCCCCAAAGTAAAAGTCAATGAAAAATACAACCACAAAATGAGATCTTATTTTAAAAAAATGAACATGACAGAAATGGTTTACTATAGGATTACACCACCTCTCCCCAACAAATATATATGGCTGGCAATACATATGTAAAATATTTTAATCACATATTCAGCAGTTAATTTAAAAGGACAAGAAAACGGAGAGGATGGAAAGATGTAACTGTGATGCAGAGACTGGGAAGAAAAGGCAAAGGAGAGTCCAATTTGTGCTTAACAAATATGTGTGCTAGGCATCTATGTTTAGGAACTTCCTTTGCTTTCTGACAGATAAACATCAAATATAGATCTTTCTTAATAGATTAACAAGGATCATAAGTGGCATACAAATAAACATAGTAAAAGACATAATAAAATGATAATCATAAGAAAAGACACAGTAAAATAAGAGATCCAGAAACTATGAGATCACAGAAGGCTTTATGTTGGAGGTGGCACTGAGCTGTGTATTGAGATGGGTACAGTTCCAATAAGGAAAGAGATGAGCATGGGGAAAAGTGATAATAAAGTAATAATAAAGTAGATGGTAAGATAGTGAAAACTGAACCTCAATCGAGTAACAGAGATTTGGGTTTTATCTGGCAGAAAACAGTCACTAAACATTTCATTGCAGGGGAGTCAAATCAGGCCTGTGTTTTCTAAACACAAATTTTACTTTCCTCCAAGAAGGATTCAGTTGAATCAATATTTTCAGGTTTTCCCAACACAATTCTAACATGAAACAAACTTTTATTATAAGCAATTCTCATCACATAAAGCTAACTCATATGGCTTGTTCTTAGAAACTCTCTTGGATAATATACAGAAATCAAATTTATAAAGTATTCTTTCCAGGCATGGTGGCACAATACCTGTAATCCCAGATACTTGGGAGGCTCAGGCAAGAGGATCACAAATTCAGAGCCAGCTTGGGAAACTTAGAGAGATCCTGTCTCAGAATAAAAACTTAAAAAGGCTAGGGATGTAGGTCAGCGGCAGAGCACCCAGGTTCAATCCCCAGTACTATAAAATAAAAACAAGCCCAAACATATATGTGTGCATATATCCATACAGTTTACCTGAATATGTCTTTAGGGTGAAAATAAGAAAAACTTTAAACAAAACAAAGGCTGAATTTTAGTTTGTTTTCACTTTAAAAATTTATTTTAAGATTGGTTTGGATACTGCCATTAATTTATGAGAGATTAAGTACAATATATAATGCAAAGGAGAAAAAGGGAAAGACATGGGTGTTGATGTTTTCCTAAAAATGTCCTCTGTTAAAAGAAAGAAAAGCTTTCTCATTCGTGGATGCAGTCTCAAATAACAGAGGCAAGCTCTCAGCAACATGTACTTCTCCACAGCAGTGCCATGTTGCTCCCTCCTTCTTATACACTCAACAAGATGAATATGCCTGCCATAGGCTCTTTCTGTGGCTTCTTCAGAAGGCATGCAATAGAAGTTATTTCTAATAGTGATTCTATTTGACTGGTGAAGGAGTAAGGAAATGAAAAAGAACATGCTGGGAAGATGGAGCAGGTCACATAAGAGTATAAAGTGATTTGCTTCAAAACCTTTTAGCTCTTGCTTTCTTTTCTCAATCAGGCTCTTAAGTTATATGTTTTTAAGGACTCCAAATCTGCCTTTTCTTGCCTTTCCAAGTTCATTATGAATCAAAATGCATTTCTGGGTTTCTTTCTTTCTTTGATACTTTAGTGAAGTAAAGTACCCAGGGTGCTTTACCCCAGTTTTTTTCTGAGACAGAGTCTTGCTAAATTGCTGAGATTGGCCTCAAACTTGCCATCCTCTTTCCTCAGCCTCTTGAGTCATTGGGATTATAGGTATGTGCCACCACACCCAGCAAATCGAATACATTTCTGTGAGTCATCTCAAATATTTCAAGAATATGTCTGAGCATAAATAACTAATGATCTCAGGATACTTTTTAGTATTTATAAAATATTCTATTTTAGTATTTATAAAATTTTCTACTTTGTAATTAATCTTGTATTAGTGGAGGAAAAAAGTTATCTTCCTTTATAAACAATAAATACCAAAGAGAACTGAAATTCATGATTCATTTTAGACAAGAGTTCCAGGTTCCTCCAATCTCTGCAATACTTTGCAAATCTACTGATAAATAACAAGTTGGTATATTCAACTTTTTCTAGTCTATTTTGGCTGTTAGAAATGCTCAAGAGTCCTGATATGGCCCAAACACCTCAGAAATTCTGAGGGTGTCTTAAAACTTCATTTTGAATTGTTCAAATTAGATGTTTTTCAAATGGCTTTAACTAAGATAAAAAGTTCTCTTCTAATCTATGAGCATTCTGCTTATAAAAGAAATCAGTTAAAAATCTTGCCCTCCTGAATTCATAAAAATGGCTTCTATAAGGGTTTCCCATCTCAATTCTTCATCCTTTCCTTTACAAACTTTCTTCTAGACCTAATGCTTCTGATGATAATAACCGAAAGCAAAGGAAACTAATAAGCCATTTGTTCTCTAATCCTTCCAGTTCCCAGAACTGATTCAATGACTCATCTTTCTTCATTAACCAGTATAAAAGCCACCAAAAAAAAAATTCCTTTTTATTTAATACTGTGAAATCTCCCAGATCTACTCACAAGAAAAAGTAGAGTCCCCAGGATAAACCTGCACCCCAAACATTTGGAGTTACTCCTTGATAAAGTCCCCGCAGTCCATCAAGTTTCCAAATGGTAGTCAAGCAATGTAAAATTCCTTTATATTTTGGTCTCAGTTCCAATCCATCACTCACTGCATTAAAGGATACACAAAAATTCTAGTTCAGAATCACATATAAACATAGATTCATAAATTAGCTATATAAAGAAAAAAATTCAGAAGAAAACCCCTTATTAGGCAGGAAAAAAGTATTTCCTAGGATGTTCTATACTTTAAAATTAATGTTAATAAATTTATCAAAGTATTTATTGAGCACATATTAAGCACCCAAGTAATATTTTAGGAAGCATCAGATTGGCTATTAAATAATCCTCCTGAGTCACTGGGATTACAGGCATGTTGCCAGAACACCTAGCTGTAGTTTTTTATACTGCTTTTTCCCTACTCAAAGAGAATATAGAAACATTCCCCCTTGCTTTTAAGTAGATTCCAAAAATAAGACTTTAAAAAAATGTGATAGTTTTCCATTTCACAGACATTCTATCATTTATACTATCATTCCCCAATTTGACATGTTAATTTTCTTTTTCTATTACAAAAAGTTCTCTAAAGAATATCTTGTATAACAGTTTGTATGGATTCTTTTTTTTTTTTTTTTTTGGTACTAAGGATTAAACTCAGGGGCATTTGACCACTGAGCCACATCCCCAGCCCTATTTTGTATTTTATTTAGAGATAGGGTCTCACTGAGTTGCCTAGCACCTCACTTTTTGCTGAGGCTGGCTTTGAACTCTCAATCCTCCTGCCTCAGCCTCCTGAGCTGCTGAGATTACAGGCGTGTGCCACTGCGCCCAGCTTGTATGAATTCTTATTTTCTTAAAATTAACTATTAGAAGGGGAATTGATATGGCCAGGCGTGGGTATAATCCCAGGGTGCTTGTAATCCCAGTAATTTGGGAGGCAGGAGTCAGGAGGATCCCAAGTTCAAGGCCAGTCTCAACAATCAAGACCCTGTCTCAAAAAATAAAAAGGGCTAAGGTTGTAACTCAGTGATAGAGCACCCCTGAGTTCAACCCAAATACACAAAAAGGGGAAGGGGGAAATTATATGGGTCAAATTTAAGTTACCAATTTAAGTTAGAAATACATATTGAAATTGCCCTCCATAGAGTTTACAGTTTATTAGCCACAAATAAGCATGCCCAGTTCAATGTACCCTTGCTTCTACTTTACTGTGTGTAATAAGCATGACAAAGAACAATCACTGGTCTTGTGTTTCAGTGTGAGTGTATATACTGGATAGCAATGGTAAGATTTATTTACTACTAAGAGTTGTGGTCAAAAAGTGCAAAATGTTGGCTGGAGATATAGCTCAAGAAAGAGCCTGCCTAGCAGCCACTTTGGACCCCATTGGGGAACAAAACTAACCAAATTATACTGTTAAATTGTGTGCATATACAAGTAAGTAACAACTAATTCCACTATTATGTATAATTACAATGCACCAATAAAAAAATACAATTAAAAGAAACCTCACTCATTATCTCCCTGTCTCCATCTTCAATCTCTCCCTTCCTTTTTTTTTTTTTTAAACCATCAGAATTTAAACAACTTAAATCTCTCTTGAGTTACCTCGTCTTTGATCCCATTGCCTCCCTATAGTTAAGCTGCTACAAATGAGAAAACAACAATCCAACTTTCTCACCTCCCTGGCAATCTAGTCTGGGCTTCACCTATTACTTCAAGGGCTCTAGTTAAGGACCTCCAAGTGCACTCTGGGAGTCCTCTCTTCCTTAAGAACCCCTTAGTGGCAGCTGACATTGTTTACCTTCTAAAACATCTCTGTTTTGGCTTGCTTCATCCCACATCCTCCTGATTTTCCTCTTCTTTGCCACTAAATTTTCCTGGCCTCCTTTCCCTCTGCCCATCCTTAAATATTAGTTTTTATAGGCACTCTTTCTATTCTCAACTAAGTAAATTCACTGCTATCCCTGTACTCCAGTTTCTTGATAACTAGTCCTGATCACTTTCCTAACATCCAGCCCTGGATACTGTTTTTACATGGCTTAACTTTCCGGAATTATTTTTTTACTTTCATTTCTAGCATTTAAATTTTCCCTTCCACTATACCAAACTATCCACTCAGAGCTTCAGACTAATAACATATGCTATTGAATCAGACTTCCTAGGATTGAATCCTAATTGTTAACAATTATTGTGTAACTCTGAGTAAGTCATGTGATTACTCTTATATCTGAGCTTTCTCGTTCATAATATGAGGGGGGGAAAAACCCAAAAATGAACTCTAAATGAGTTAACATCAATTAAATGAGTCAGCATTAATGAGTTAATATGTGGAAGGTGGAGCTAGGGATATAGCTCAGTTGTACAGTGCTTGCCTAGCATGTGCAAAGCCCTGGGTTCAAGTCCTAGCACTGTTAACAGACCCCCAAACAAACTTTTTTTTTTTTTTAGTACCGCAGATTGAGCCCAGTGGTGCTTAACCAATGAGCCATAACCCCAGCCTTTTTTTGTATTTTATTTAGAGACAGGGTCTCACTGAGTTGCTTAATGCCTCACTTTTGCTGAGGCTGGCTTTGAACTCCTGATCCTTCTGCCTCAGCCTCCCAAGCCACTGGGATTACAGGCCAAACAAACATTTAAAGCACCTGGAAACATGTCTAGAAAACTGCAAGCACTAAAAATATTAGTTTATTTATGCCACTGGGTCTTTCAATACCACATAAACTTTACCATGTGCTAGTCTTGTTACTGTACACTATGGTTCCTTGGTTAGTATTACAGATTTAGTCATATTCTCCTTTCTTCCTACTTTTCCCTAAAAAACTCACAAATCTTTACAAATGGGGTTATTTTAGGAAATTACTATTTTTACACATTCTTATTTGCTGGGGTTGAATCCTTAAAAATTATTTCATGAAGTTAGAACAGATCTCAAAGATCACCTAACCCAATCCTTCCACCCAACACAAAAATATCTTCTAACCTCTGTCTGAACCACTTCTAGTCATCACCAGTTTCATTTCATAACACCACAATGTTGTCAGGCCAAAATCTGCTTCCCTATAATTTCCACTCAACTTATGTCTGACCTTAGGATCAACCCAAAAGGCAGCTCCCTCTCCCCCATGGAAGTTCTCTATCTTAAGGATTTTCCCCATTCCAAGCTAACCTAGTTTTTTCAGTTTTCTCAGATGAAATGATTTCCAATCTTTCTGACTTTGGATATCTTGAAATTTCAATTCACATTCAGAACTCATGAAAAAATTCCAGGTTTGGTTTAGTAGCACATACATTCAGGACTAAACTCCCATCATCAGATATTATCTTTATTTTTTCAGACATTAATTTTATTAAATCGTTTTCGTTATACGAAAGAATAAAAACCATGGGTTAGAGCATTGATGCTGATGACCAGATGCTATATCTCCATTACACATCTAAATTTTCCTCTTTTCTATTATATCAAAGCCACACTGTGGGTTTTATTATTCCTCTCAATACCCTATATGTAACCTAAACCCTACTAGTTTTCCACTACTCTCCACTTCATCAAAATTACCATCTTCTCAAGATACCAAGAATTTTCTTCCCTCGGGTATAGTCCACTTCACAGCATTGTCTTAAATTCATCAACCAACAGTACTATTTCTCAATGATCATCACAACTGCCACCTTTTCTGCTCCTAAACAAAGTTGCTGAAAAAAGACATCAAGTTATACAGGCCCACACCTGCAGCCAAGCCTAAATTCTTTTATTCACGTTCAAGCCACTGTATACCAGGATTCATAAAGGCAGCATGTAAGTAGTTAAGTGCAAGAGGGTTCCAGAGTTGGACTCCATGGGTTCAAATTCCAGATCTACCTTTACATTCTGTGACGTGGGTAAGTTAAGTCAATTTCAGTTATCCTCACCTGTATAAGAGGATAATAAACTCACAGGATAGTGAACAAAAATGTATCTAAAGCTCAGGTGGGCATGGTGGCACACATGCCTATAATCCCAGTGGTTTGCAAGGCTGAGGCAGGAAGATCTGAGACCCTATCTCTAAATAAAATAGGGAATAGGACTGGGGATGTGGCTCAGCAGTTGAGTATCCCTGAGTTCCTCCAATCCCCAGTACCAAAACAAACAAACCAACAAAAAAATAATGTTTCTAAAGTTCTTAATTCATTGCCTTTCTTCTAGGAAATGCTCAATGAAGATTAGCTATCAATAATCGTAATTATTTGTATATGCATCAGAAACTCCATGAAATTATCCATTTGTAGTGTCTTTTCTAAAGGTAACACTCCATAATTTTCACCAATTTTCCTTCATCAAATTGTTTCGTGTCTTCTTTCTGTCAAAGTATTAATTATTCTACAGAGAACCTCAAGATCCAATCTTGCATAGAACCTTTACAAATGCATATAGCCATTAACAATTATGATTTTCTTGATAGCCTATCTATATTCTTATGTTGTATTTTGATTTATTCTACTATGCCCTTGATGTTTGTTGTCTAGAATTATCTAACATTACTACTAAGTCTCAAGTCTTACAATTAGATACTAAGTTCCCTGAAGTCAAGAACTTTATAAAACACTTCTGTAATTAAGAGATATATAAGAAGTGAAGTAAATAAAATACCTAGTATTACTGTAAGATAAACCAAAATTGCAAACTGAATGTTCAGGGCAGGACTTAACTTGTATTAATAACTGAAATAAAAGAAAACAGTTTCCAAATGAAGTTACCAAAGTTTATTTTGAAACTATCTTTTACAGAATTTAGTGTTGAGTTTAACTTCTAAACTGCTAATAATTCGAAAGCAACTCCATTTTGAAAATCAGCACCTACCCTGCCAGGCATGATCTTCCTGTTAGACCCACCCTCAATGACTACCCAACTGCAGAAACCACAGCAAAGGCGCCAAATAACAATCACAGGACCAGACGTTATTTTTTAACTACTCCATTGTACCTGACTATAATAGTTCAGAAGTTTTTTCCAGCAGGCTACTGCGCCTTGCAGAGGGCAGCCTGGCAGATATTCTCTGTCTTTCCTTGAACTCAGAGATGTGTGTCCAGGATATTTGCGCCAGTTATCCTAATACATATTCACTTAAACAAAAGAATATCTAGATCTGGCTACTTTTTCGTTCAAAGGACACTGTACCACACTGTACACATCAAAAACCAAAGAAACTTTGAAGATAATTCTATCCCAAACACCTGGTACTTTCCGTTCTGCTTCCAAACACGTGGCTGACCTATGATTTCGAAGTACCTCCTAGAATGAATGATTCGCCCGTGTGACAGCCAAGTCCTAAACTGTCACAAGCCCATTCCCCCCCTCCCCAACACACACACTTTGCCCACATTCCCCATCCCTTATCCTCGGGGAGCGGGAAAGAGAGCGGCCAGGCCCTGCTTTCTCAAATCCAGTTCCAGATGAGGCAGCGTAAACAGCATCTTCTTCAAAGCCCTCCTCCTCGCAGTACAGAAGATACAAGGGAGAGGTCACGGCCCCTTTTTGAGTTTCCACTACTCAGCCCGTGCTTGCAGCGAGAAGGACCCCGGTGTCTAGGCGGGCTCTTACCGGCGAAGCGGATCTTCACGAGGTCGAGCGGGTGCAGCGCGAGGTTAGACAAGACCCCGCCGCTCACACCAGCTACCAGGTTCTCATACCGGACGTGGCGGAATACCGTGCTCCACGCCGACGACCCGGACGCCGACTGGCCCTGACCGTTCATAGGCTCAGGGTCCGAGGAAACCACGGCGCCCAGGGCCGCGGAGGTGGAACGAGATGCAGTGGCCGCCACTGTGGCGACGGTCGCCGCCCGGGAGCAAGAACCGTAGGGCGCGAGCCCACTTCCGGGACTGGCGAAAAAGCACCGACGGCCGGATAGCGGGAACCGAGCCGGGAGACCTTAATGCGGAGGGGCGTGAGGGGGCGCGGCCACACGTCAAGCCGGTGGAGGGCGTGACGGAGGCGGGTTGCACGCCTCCACCTAGTGCCCGCCCTACCTCCCCGGCTGAAGCAGCATGCTTGAGCCAAAGGACGTGGACAAAAACAACAGCTCAAGAACCGCCCCCTGCCAACCTTTGCCGGCACTACTACGGAGCGCCGCGGGATCCAGCTGAGCCCCGCTGGCGGACACGAGGTGGTATCACGTGACAGGAAGTAGTCTGCGAGAGGCGGAAGTGGAGTGTGCGGGAGGAGGAGGAGGTGATTCTGACCTGACTGAGAGGCTCGTGGAGTCAGGGAGGAAGAGCCGCCAAGATGAAAGTGAAGATGCTGAGCCGGAATCCGGACGACTACGTACGCGAAACCAAGTTGGATTTACAGAGAGGTGAGGGAAGGTGATTGGGAGGGGCGCCTTCTGCCAGGCGTAGGTTCGGCCTCCACTTCCTTGAAGTAAATGAGTGGGGAGACCAGTACTTCGGTCTAGTTATTTTCCCAGTTCTCTTTCGCCCAGAGGAACTTTGGATAGTGCCGTTGCGGAACTGGGTAACGGGTATGTTTTTTAAAGTCCTTTTTTTTTTTTCCCCTAAGAATTTTTAGCGGTAACTGGGAGTTAGCAATAGGGAGAAATGCTTCCGCCTCCGCAGGTTTGTGTTGAAAAGTGGAACTTGAATGAACCACACTCGTGTATTGAAGGATTTAAGGATTAAACAGCCTTCTTTAAAACTTTCCAGGTTCTGTAATCATTTTATTTCCACTTAAAATTACTTCTGCTTATGGAAAGAAACAGATGGGTTTTAAAGCTATCAGTTTTCGCTTGCCAAACCATCCCTGTGAAAAGTTTAAGGGCAGAAAGGGTAAAGTGAAATTAGTAAGTTTTATTTATAATTAACGACCTGTTCGCTCATTAACATGTCGACCGCTTATGAACTGTGATTTTGTTTATGAAACCTAAATGACAAGAGACCAAGCTTGTGTGGACAGACCATTGTAAGTGAAGAGAATAATACCTGCAAAGGCTAGGGCTGTGTCTTCTTTCTCAGGCATAGAAGGAAGGCCCAGGTCTTCGGAGTTCGAATGAGAGATAAGCGATGAAAAATGAGGCTGGAACATTATTTCACTTATGATTAATAGAGATTTGCCAACATATTTATGAGCATTGCTAAGATGTAAGTGTAAGGGTAAGTAACAAGACAGGGATGTTCCCTAAAATGCAAATTAGATTTGTCCTTCAGACTTGACATCGTCCACAGTCATTGAACCTCTGGTCCCTACTTCATCTCCAGTTTCACCAATCACTACTTTTCCCACTAGTAGCTTATATTCATCCTTGCCAACATGAGTGCATTTCAGGCATTCTCTTTCAGATTTCCTGTGGCACACACCTTTCCCAGTTAAGCTGCTCTGTCTGGGAAGCTTTCTTTGAACAATAGTTTTGCATATTTATTCCCTGCACGGACTCACTCCACTTCAGTAGCCCTCTTTTATGACATTTTTATACTTTTGTCAGTGTTTATCATAATGTCTTGTGGTTATTACTTTGGTGAATTGTTTTTCCCATCAGACTATACTTGCAAATAGAGGGAAAATCTTTTTTGGTGTTCACTGTTTAGATAATAACCTGGTACATAGTAGATGCTTTATGAATGTCTGAATGAATGAATGAATGAAGGTAATTGGTCATAGAATCTCAGTGTTAAGATGTTCTTATTCATCTAATCTTGTTATTAAGGTATTTTTCCCTACATTTCCCTATTTATACTTTCTGATGGAAATAACAATAAATGGAAAGATAGAATTTTTGGAGCTCTGTAAAATAAAACAAGAAAGACATTTATTGTCTTTATTCCATTTTTATTTTAAGTGTTATTTTCTTATAAATTTTACAAAGTATTCAAGAATTGGGGTAAGCATTGGGGAATCTGTTTTCTAAAATCCCATGGTAATTCTGATGCAGCTGGTTAATATGCGTGAGAACACCTTACATAAGTATATGCAATGAGGTCTGGGGATGTAGCTCAGTGATAGAGTGCTGGTCTAGCATGCACAAGGCCCTGGGTTCAATTCCCACCACTGCAAATATATAATAAATGCAGTGAGTTTATAAATTATTATGTCTTCAGTGCTGGTGATGTATGGTAGGTCCTCCATCAATATTAATTGAATGTTTCTTATTGACTGGATTATGAATTTAGGGGTGGACAAGATGTTATCTGAAAAACTTTATAGAAGCCATAAGATTTGAATAGAATCTTCAAGGGGTACATAGGGCTTAGATGGGCTAGAATGAAAGTTGGAGTAAATTTTTGTTGGAAGCCATAGTGTGTGGAAGAATTCAAGAGTGGAACAGTACAAGACAATTTTAAATGACAGTGGATAAACGTGTTGTGTGGAACTGAACTTGAAACCAAACAGGTAGATTTGGGCCAGATTGTAGAAGACCAGAAAGGAAACTGGAACTTCTGGTCTTCTAGAACTTTATTCTATAGGTCATAGATCTCTGAAAATGGATGTTTGGGGAGGGGCATTTATTATAGTGTGGAAAAAAACAATTGGAACTTCAGTCTATTTCCAATCTTAAAAAACAAATGAATTTTTATTTATATAATATTTGGATTGATAGGGACGACCTTGTTTCAGCCATGTTAAAATAGTCACATACTATATAAGGTAATTCATATATCCTGAGGAGTGAAGGATTGACAGAGCAATACTTCTAGCTTCAGCATTTTGCAGTTTATATCTATTGGGGGATTATAACTTCTAAATGATGAAAGGACCATGAAAATCTTTTCATGTAGAAGTTTCTTGGTTTTATTATGGCAAAGTTCTTGAAAGAGTTATGGAACATACAGTGAATTAAGCATTTCTTAAATTTGGCAGGCTTCAGTGCTTAAGAATGTGAAGTAGGAGGCTTTTTAAAGTTTTTCTTTTTTAGAAAAAAAAGTGTAACAATCCTAATATTCTCTTGTACCAGACTAGAACCTTTTAGTCTATCACAGTGTTCAATTGTATTCAAATTTTTAACCATTTTTAATGATGAATGGCAAAATGACTTCAAAAAAGTCTTGTAATATGTAGATATTATTTTGATGATGTATGCTTGGAAATATATCCACCATTTAAAAATTTTTATACTGAAAATGATGAAAGTGTTATCTATAAAAATTCATTTTGCCTTTGAAAAATTTTGGAAACAAAATTTTTTGTTGTTGTTATTGTTGAAACTGTTGAAATAGCAATTTTGTAGGAACAACAGCTGTTGACATCAGAGGAGGTAGAACTTTTTTGGGGGTACGGGAATTAAATTTAGGGGCACTGAGCCACATCCCCAACCCTATTTTGTATTTTATTCAGAGACAGGGTCTCATTGAGTTGCTTAGCGCCTCAGTGTTGTGGAGGTTGGCTTTGAATTTGCGATCCTCCTGCCTCAGCCTCCCGAGCCACTGGGATTACAGACGTGTGCCACCACGCCTGGCTAGGTAGAACTTTTTAAAACATGCTTCAGAAATAGACTTTGCAAAACTTATGGATGGAACTGAAAATTAAATATACTAAATGAATGTAGCCAACTGTAGGTTTCTCTTTGGATCTCCTTACCTTTGTGAAGTACAGGCAGTCCTCACTTTCCACAATGCTGTATTAACTGAACCAGTTCTCCTCTTTGAGACATTCTCAGTGACTGAAGTCACAGGTATTACCATGGGAATGTGCCACACAAGGAATTGGTTCCAGGATGTTTTCAATGCCATTAATATAGTACTGTACAGAAGCTAGTACTGCCTTGAGTTCTTTTCAACTATGTAGCCCTTAAAACCAAATGCTGAAACAAATTGAGATCCGACTAGAACCTTTTAATCACAGTGTTTAGTTGAAGTTTGTTTTTAAATTTAATTATTAGTGCATATTGATTGTGTGAATTAATGGATTTCATTGTTAGGTTTCCCTCCATGCATGTAACATGATTTGATTGTATTCAACTCCCTACTAACCTTCATCCCCTTCCCTGAAAATTCCCCTTCTACTTTCATGGGATTTTGTGGGGTTTTTTGTTTTGTTTTGTTTTTAATTTGTTTGTTTGTTTTTTAGATTCCACATGAGAGAAAGCATGTGATACTTGTCTTTATAAGTTTGGCTTATTTTACTTAACGTGATGCTCTCTAGTTCCGACCATTTTCCTGCAAATGACATGATTTCATTCTTTATGGCTGCATAGTATACCAAATAAATAGTCCTGGTACTCTCTTGTGTATATATATCACATTTTCTTTATCTACTTATCTGTTGATGGTCTTCTAAGATGATTCCATGACTTGATTATTGTGAAAATGCTCCATTGAACATGGGTGTGCAGGTATCTTTTTTATATGCTGACTTTAATTCCTTTGGGTATATGCCCAGGAATGGTATAGCTGGAATGTATTTGTTCTATTTTTAGTTTTTTGAGGCACTTTCATATGGTGTTTCATAGTGCCTGCATTAATTTACTTTTCTACCAATAGTGTATAAGTGTTTCTTTTCCCCTTGCATTCTCACTAGCATTTGTTATTTTTATTTTCTTGATTATAGCCATTTTAACTGGGGTTAAGAAAGAATCCCAGTGTAGTTTTGATTTGCATTCGCCTTTAGCTAAAGACATTTTTCATGTATTTATTGGCCATTTAGTTTTTCTTTTGAGAAGTATCTGTTCAGTTCACATGCTTATTTGTTGATTGGATTACCAGTTCTTTGGAACTTTTTTGAATTCTTCATATATTTCAGATATCAAGCCTATGTCTGAATAGCTGGCAAGATTTTCTCACATTCTCTAGGCCGTCTTTTCACTTTGTTAATCGTTTCCTTTGCATCCTTTGCAGTGAAGAAGCTCTTTAATTTGATGTAATCCCATTTGTCAGTTCTTGCCATTAATTCCTGAACAACTGGAGTCCTATTTAGAACTTCACTGAATCTTGAAGTATTTGTCCTATGTTTTCCTGTAGTAGTTTCGGGTCTTACATTAAGGTCTTTTTGAGTTGATTTTTATATAGGGTGGAAGGGATCTATTTTCAATCTTTTTTTAACTAGTGTATGCCCAGTTTTACCAT